ATTTTCTTTATTTTAGTTTGGATGGCTTTGTTAGACACTGAGCAGATGATGACATATCTTCATCTTTTTGTTTGGTCGTTCTCCACATTGCTATAAAGCCAAAAATTATTTTGCAACAGCAAAGTTCAAGTCTCCATCGCTCAGACCACTAGAATACTTTTTGTGGGACAACAAAGTTCAAGCCCTTTCTAAATCTTATTCAGAACAAGGTCTGCAAGGCATATTTAACAGCACCACTGTTCAATGGAACCACTATCTCTGGCCTGATACATATTTCATTTCAAAGACTGAGAATGGACCACTGCAAGGATGTAATTACCTTTGGAACACAGTCCATAATGGTTTTCAGATTCTAGTCTTGTTTCAATTAATACACATTTTAAAAAATACCAAGCTTAAAAATAGAGTCAGGAATGCTTCAGAATTTACTGCAGTGCTTGGTAAATCCCTGACTGTGAAGCTTCCTTTTCCCTGCTCTGAATCTACTTGTCTATAGCTTCCAACCACCAGAGCTCATTGTTTTTAGCCAGACTAAAGATCCCATTATCAAGGTTTTGTTCCCTGCATTTGTACTGGTAGACCCTGATCAAGTCATCTCCTTAACCTCATTTATAAGGAAATACAAAGACAAAGCTTGTCAGATCTTTCACTACACAATACATTTTCTACTCTTTTAATTAGTACCATGGCTTTCTCTGAACTTTTTCTAACTTAGCCATATTAATTAATGAATCACAGATTTCAAACCGGACTCGGTATTCAAGTAACAAATGCACTCACAAAATTCAGAAAGATGTGCCTGCCTAACACATCTCCATTTATTCCTCCAAAGTTCAAAAAAGTTATTAAAGACATGGAATTGGACTGGAAATTCATAGCATTTGAAGACCAATAAACTCCCCCAGTCAAACACAGTAGACAGTATTTCCTGGAACCTGAAGCTATTAGGGCTGCTTCTCACACAGGATAAGTTGAAAATCAGGCTGATACAATTACCACTTCAAAGAAATAATTTTTTTACAATAAATATGGACACCATTTAATTTTTCCTGTACCATTCATTGCATTGAAACACATTCAGCTTTGTGCCAGTCTTGGCAAAATGGCAGTGAATATAATCACTGCTGAATCCTCTCCCTTAACAATGTTTCAGCCTTTCAATCCTCAGCAAATCATCAGTATCTATTACATGTTTTTTACTCCCAAAAGGCTAAGTGCCATAGGACCGAGGAAGGATGGCATGAGGGGTCCAAGAAGAATGCATCCTTTCAGCAAGGAGTCTCATTTTACACTGATAGTTACACACCTAGGAATTATCTACCCTTTAAGACATGTGAAAGTGTTGCTGGTTGATTACACAAGACTTTAATTTCTGAATCAAAATATGGACTACTAGCTCTAATCTTCAAAGATATCAGAGGATATTACACTAACACTTTTAGCTTTATCAGCCACTTTTTCTAATTTCATCAAAAATACATCATGCTAACTTGACATGGTCTGGCTTTCCTATAACTCATGTTGATTGGCACTAATTATACAACACTTCTTTAATTCATTATTAATTAGGTCCCTTATTATTTTGCCCAGAAGTGATGTCAAACTGACAGACATGTAATTATCCAGGTCATGCCTTTTACCCTCTTTGAATGTTGGCACATTAGCCATTTCTGTGCTCTTTCGCCAGTATTTCAAAGCTTATAAAAAAATCAGCATTAATGCTCTAGGAAGCTCATTGGACAGCCCTGTTGAAACTCATTATCTGAGCATGCCAATTTAAAAATGGCTAAATTTAGCTGCTACTAAAGAGCAACCCCTTGAGTGCCTATTACTGGAAATTATTGCGTTGACTTCCTATTATACAATTACATAATATAACACATACATCTTTTAATTTGCCAATCCTTTGACACCACTTTACAATTCCACCACATCCCTCTCATGTTAGACCAACACATCTACTTGATTCTCCAGTAATTCAGTGCTCTATGTCTGCCTTAGTTGTGCTTACTATCAGTCTTCTAATTTTCCTACAACCATTTACAATGTACATATTACTTAACTTTACAGCCCTCTTAGCAGTCCACCAAATATGGAGGGAAGTTTTTAACCCATGTGGCCTCGTTCAGCACTGGCTCTAAGCCAACAAGTATTGCCTCTCCAAACAATGTGTACCACAAGCAGGGAACACACTAAACAATGCCAACAATGTGGTTATTACAAAAGCAAACATCTCTATTGCTATTACTGTATGCATATTGCATGCTCTATTTTGTCTGATACTTGCAAGAGCATTAAGTAAAAAGGGCAAGTATTAATGGCAGGTCAGAGGGTGAGAAATTTAGGGATACTATTTGCTGATTTGTAGAAGACTTTTACAAGAGCAATTTCCAGAGCACAGCCAGATACCATATAACTGAAAAATTTTAGAAAAAAGTGTTTTCTGCATATTGTGCCATAGTCATAGTAATGATTTGTGCTCTTGTAAAGAAGAACTTGCCTTGTAAATACATTTTAGTTAATTTTTAATTAGAGGACAGAGAGCTACCGAGTAATGTGGGGAAAAGGATAGACGGTCCTTACTTATTTTGGAAGTTTAAATACATACTGATTTTAACCAACCTTAATACATGCAGCAATAAAGGGGGAAAAAAGCCTATCTGGTTTTACTAGGTAAAACAAGATGAAGTTGTGACCATTATCATGTGCTGGTACTTCACATTTCCCTAGTGACAGAGTATAAACTATGGTTTGTATTCTGCTAATCAGAGACCGTAGTTCCAGCGTGGAATGAATTATCTGTGAGGAACAAAACAGTGACTGACAGAATCTAAGTCTGAAAGTTTTATTCCATACTGCTTTAGAGTCTCAACTTGCGCCCTGAGAACTGCAAAGCTGCTTTGATACTTACCTGGCTTAGTCCACCCTTACTTTGATACTGATGTGTTCTGGTCTATCCTCACACATCCATTTCCACATGCATCTGCTTGAGGTAACCAGTAAAGTTAAATTCTTGCATTTCCCCACTTCTTTTTCCTGCAAATCAAGGCTGGCCTTTGCACAGGTATGTGGATAGCACAGATCAAAGCCAAGACTTCATATGAACAGTCATTCCCAAGTAGGTACATGAATCTAGTACACAGGAACCGATAAGAAGCAAAGTCCAAAGTCTTCCTGTGGAGATCATCAGAGCAAAGCAGAGGCCTTCATTTCACAGGTATCAACAGCTTCACACAGCACAAGTACTTTAGGGAGAACATCCAAGAACAGCATTCCATAGCTCAGACCAGTGGGATGGGATTTGTCCGGGTCCTCAGCAGATGCCGTGCCAATTTAAACATTGTTAATTTATTATGAGAAGCAGTGATCCAAGCAGATATATTATTCATTAGAACAACTAAGGTCCAAGGAAGAGGTCCACATACAATTATTTGTTTCAGGTCTCTTTGTAGAGATGATTGCACCATGGGAACTCTGCCAGCCAAAATACCCTACAAACTGGTAGTGAGCCAGAGTAAAATGCAACCAGATTTACGCTCAGTTGACAGATCGCTTGCATAAGGTCAGATTGCAAATTACTCAGTTTCATGGAGGGATCTGTTGCCATCTTTGTACGTGCTCAGGTGCTACTCTAAACACATGTTAACTCGGCCACTGCACTAACATTAAAAAATTACAATCTTCATAACAGACCCTGGTCAGTGCTCAGTAACCTACACTGCACAACAATGCACAACTCTAATTAGTACTTCCTAAATCTAGGTCATTATAAAAAATAAATTGACAGCCAGAAGATCACTGAAACCAGCAGTAATGGAAAGGAGAGAAAGTGAGGGGAAGAATAAGAGGAAGAGGCAGAAAGAGCAGTAAAACTTTTATAGGTGGAATGAATGAAAAAAGAGAAGTGTTCATGCAATTACTCACCTGCAGTAAAGTCTCTGAACACATGACTCCTACAGAGAGAACCATTCAGACCCTGCTTTAAACCTGATTTGGTCCATCTTCATCTATAAATTGACACAAGCAAGTTAAGCAGCTTTAGGCCTACATGATCAACTTCATACGACCACATCAACCTAACTACATAAACTGCAGGTTTAGAACCCTACGCTGTTAAACTTTACACAAGCAGCAATTACTCCCTGGGACCACATCCTATCACCAATATTTTAAAAAAAAAGTAATTTACTGAGAACAGATTAATATGCTTTGTGGAACAAAGACCAAACCAGACTCAGACCCTTCTGCTCTAGACAGAGGCTCTGTTTGAAAGCCATGCTCACATGACAGAATGCTAAGTGAAATTAAGCAAGTGGGTAGGTATGCCCCACAACCAGCCTCACACAGCCTAGGCAGATGCTCTCAGTGTCAAATTACCTGCATTAAAGGAGGAGAAGCTACCACCTGTAATGGAGCAATGCCTACTTTGAGTCTGACAAGACCCAGTTCCTACAGAGGCTTTGGGTGTGTATCCCAAGATACACTCTCACCCCTTCAAATGCAGGGCAAATGGTTATGTTCACCTTTCACACTGCCTTAGGTAGATCTCCAGCTCACACTGATTACCATCCCAGGCACTGGTGGCTTCTTTTAAACAAGCAGCAAGAGCAGCTACTTAATTCAGGGCTGACAATCTTGCTTCCAGGACCAAGTATCATAATATCTTGTCACTTCCATCTGTAAATCTAGCTACAGATACTGGACCATGAACCAATTAAGAGTGTCACACAGTGACAAAAGACAAACACCTAGGATAATTAATCACCCAGTAAACAATTACAGCCCATTCAGTGTTGAAAAAAATACATATCTACCCCGGACAAGCCAAACCTATCTACAACCAAACACCACTTCTAAGCCTGTGAGAAGTCTGCCAAACATGAAAACTAAATTAAGTACAAAGCAGATACTGTAAATCCATTCAGGTCTCAAATAAATGACAAGCTGGGTTTTAAAAATGTACAGACTGCACTTTCCAAAGTTAAAATAAACACAAATCCTGGCTTTCTAAATATATTGTTTATTTATAGTTGAATGTTAACATCTGAACAGAAATCTGCAAGCACACAGGGATAATCTTTCAGTGACGTTTCTGTTTAAACTGAAGTCCACAGTAGCCACATGTTCCGGTCTTTGTCTCTTTGTCCTGCAAAAATATAAAAATACAACAGCTGCTAGTTTCACTTTATAAAACTTTAAGAAATTACAATTTTTTTTCTTATTTATTTTGCCATCTTTAAACCAAACAATATTGCCAAAGAATAGAGTTTAGTCTTATTTGAAACACTGGAAGCAAAGATGATGCTATGAGGCTCATGCTTTATTTCTGTATGCTGTATTTTTATTCTGTATGTAGCTTCCCTTATGCCAGAGTTTCAACTACCAGGCCTAAATTCAACTATATAATTTTAAAGTCAAACAAAGTGGTATCTCCTCAGAAATATAAGATCCTCCTACCAAACTGGACACCTTAAGACAGTTTGGTCATACCTATTCCAATGTTCTGAAAAGTTCACTTAACAATTATTTCAATACAGAATAGGATTTGGCATTTCCTAGAGAGAATTTTGGTCAGTAACAGAGTTGTCTGTAGGAAGGAGGAGATTTCTGTAGGAATCCATGAGAAATGCTGGAAGAAAGTGTTTTGGAGAACAGGAGGAACTACTGCTGTATAAAATTTCATTATTTTCTCCAGAAGGTACATGTATTTTTTAGAATTTTGTAGTGTAACTGACTGCAAGGTGTCATTGCAGTCCTTCCTTAACATGACAAAACATAATACAGCTAAATACTCAGGAATCTTCTGTGATTTTGCAACATGACTACTTGTATTCATGAAACAAAGTTAAATTCATGGCTCCCCTTAATAATGGATTAGAACTAAAAAATGCAAACTACCCTCCATTCCCAAAGGCCTGCACTTCAGTTTTCAGGGAAAAGAAGCTAACCTAATACCACCCTGTTTGAAGACTTTATTTCTCAGGAACTAAATCACAGACAAATTGTAACTTGACTGTGAACACAAAAAAAAATAATAATAATAAAAAAATAATTTATATATATATATATATATGAAATCTCAAAATCCATAAAATATTATCATTCTTCAAGAGTGTGGAACATATCAAACGAATCAACATAAAGATCAGGAGTGTGCTACAGAAGTTAAGGCTGAAGTACTTCCTAAGAGTTACAATTCAGAACCTCCAAACATTTGACTTTGAATAAGGTAAAATAAATTATTACAAAATTCTTACTTTGATCAAAATAGAAATGCTTATGATTCTAGTTAGGAGTCACAACAACTCCAACACTTAAGGACACCAGCTCTTCCCCATCCCTCTTTTGGGCATTAGGAAATGTCAAAGTTTAGGTGCGCAAGCAAAGATTTTAAAACATCTGCAATCAGGCTCTACCTGAGAACAGTACCTAAGCAACAGCTGCATCAACTAAGGTCACAGGACAGTACCCTTAATATTTTTATTCTCTAGAACAAAAATACACTGGAAACTATCACTACTGTCAACAGGAGCATAAGACAACATTTATTCTTCATTCTCCAGCCATGACTGAAACATTCAGTCTTCAGAACTACCAAGATTCCCAAAGACTGAAAAAGGGGTTGGTTGGTTTGGTCTTCCTCCTTTTTCTTCCCTTGAACTTGCAAGATTAAAAATAAACTGCATATTCCTATGAATACTGTAAATGAATGGTCAAACTACATGGTGGCATTTCAATAATTAGAGTTCCAAAATGCAGCATGGATGTTAATTTTTGCTCTCAGTGGTTGTACTTACTACTTCACCTGATTTCTTTTTTTAAAAATACTATCCTGCTAAATAAACCAAAATTTCAAAAAGGGATTTCTGTAACTTCAAATGGAAGCCCTCTAATTTTTCTGATTTATATCAGGCACTAAATAAAATGAGCACCTCAGGTGGTTACTCCTTTTATTTTGTTAAACTAGCATTCCAAAAACTTGATAATCTTAGAAAAAAAGAATGCACAGGTAAAACATGGTATATGCAGACTAATGACATTACCAAGTTTATGTATACTTTGGGATGTCCCAAAGCTCCACCACCACCATCGCATGAGATCACTCTGCTTTCAACTTGACTCACAGGCTGTTCTGCTATCAAATCAATTGCAAAACTCTTGTTCACCTGTAAGAAAGAAAGGGAAACTTTCAGATACCATCCCCACTCAAACAGAAAGCAATTGCTATTTGCTGCCTTCTCAGGCAGTTCCACTACAGCCATTTTAAGGAGTTCCTGCTTAGGCTTCCTCCCAACTCCTCCACCAACTCAGGCTCTGCTATAAGCCAGATCAACGAACTATACACTAAACTCGGCAAAGGTAATCCCTTTCCCACTGTTATACAGGCCACATCAGTGCTCAGCTTTCAGCAGATTCAGCAGAGAGGTGAGCAGGAGCAAGTAGACAAGAAGAGAGGATATTTAACCAACACTGTATTCTGCTTTAGTGACTATATGATAAAATTGCAGAAAAATCTCCACTGATAAACTCAAAAATAATAGTGAGACAAGTAAGGTCAGGCATGAGATAAAACAATGGCTGTTAATTCAGAGCCTCTAGCCATGTACCTTATTCTATCACTGCACAGGAATCTCATGAAAACATGAATGTAGTGCATAACAACAGTCAGAAAAACAAATTGTTCAGCAGAAAAAAGGAAAAAACTTCTAAATGCCACTACTCCACTCTGTAAATCTATCATGCGCACTTCCTGAATATACACATCACCAACAAGTAGGGCTTCTTCCTAGAGCACACCTGCATGGCCAGGAAAACATATCCGTGTCTGGATAGGCTGGTGACACAGCAGCTTGCCCCCCAGTGGGACCTACAGCAATCCAATACTCTCCAAGTCTGCACTGAGCAGACAACTGCTGCTACAATTCAGGGAAAAGTACTCCAGGAGGGGCCACCTTTTTCAAAGGCCATGTTATACACGCATGAATATCAAATAATATGCACACCCAAAGGAGGTACTAACTACTGTACTGCTCTGTGTATAAACATGCTGGTATTGGAATAAAGATGAGATTCTTGGGAAAAAGACAGTTATGCATCCATTACATAAATCCCTAGGAATTACAGCAGTGTTTTTATATAATCCTAGTAGATAACAACTTAGCATCTTTCACCAAGCCTCCCATTAAGTCTTCCCAAAATCTGCTTTTTTTTGGTACAGTAATGGAAAAGTCAGTTTTGCCAACTAAGAATTTGTCCTTATCAAAAGATGACAGCTAAAAAAAAATCTAAAAAAGACTAAGTTTTGGTATCAAAAGAAATCAGCAACATCAAGAACCCCACTGTCTGGGGCTGCATCCACGAGCCATGTAATTTCTGCCAAACAGTAAGAACTTTTACGGCTATTTTTAATAACACTCAAAATTGTGCATCCTTAATTTTGTGCTAAAGGAGGAGGGAGATAAAACCATCATACACCTTTGCTTCAGGATTAGAAGCAAGAACTCCACTCATCCCAACATTTCTTAACCACAAAAGGTACTTGTGGGAAGAGAGAAGCAAAGACCTCTCATCCACTGTATAGGTAAGACTTGTGTGTGGCTCAGCCTACCAAACAAGACACAGTCTAGGAATTCACCAGGAAAACACATCACAAAAAAACCAAAAAAAAAACCAAAAAAACCCAAAACTAAACAAAAACAAACAAACAAAAAAACCCCACCCAGATGGTTGCAGTTAAAACATATCCCTTTGACTAAAGCACAGCAGTATTCTGCAGGAAAGGGCTGATCCCCTCAGCACATCCAGATGTGCCTTGCTCCAAACATAAATCAATCGGCTGTTTTTCTCCTGTCACAGTGCCAGTTTGACAATTTCATTTCTGCTTCTTCCCACCTATCCACCTGTGTCAGTCCATGGTCTGGGAGCCTAAAGAGATAAAACCAAACTTGGATTTGATCCCAGTCCAAAGATGTAGAGGGAAGACAGGAGAGAATATTTAAAACAGACCAGCACTGAGGTGACTTCTCCTCACACTCTCAGCTGCTGCACAAGCCCAACAGAAAGGGTACAGCTCCAGTGGGAATGGCAGTGTTGAAATAGGTCCTGCTCCACCTTAGAGATTATAGAAGGACAGGATGACCTTAGGGATTATAGAAGGGCAGGATGACCTTGCTGGACTGTGGCAGATGCAGTTTAGCAGTTGCCATGCTCAGTTTTCTCACAGCTTCCTGCTTTAGACCCTTGCCAGAGAGCATTAATCCCCAGTTCTCCACAGAGAACCAATGATTTTGGCTAAAACTCATGGATGTCACTTACCAACGGGCTGGCAGAACGGAGGGGACAATAAGCACATCCTCTAGGCCATGCCCCTGGGCCTGGCCACCTGAAGCACACAGACCCTGACTGGGGGAGAGTCCAGAGGCTGCATCCCCCCCAGACAGGAAAGCTGCCGTGGCTGGACTGGGCTGATCCCAAGAGGGATGCAACCACCTGGACCATACTGAGGGCAAAGGGAAGATGCAACCAAGAAAGAACAGTCACCAGGAGAGCTTCTGCTTCAGAAACATGACAACATTCAGACTACAGACACAGCTGTCAACCCTAATATTGGCAGCTGGAACACACTGTGGGATAATGGCAAAGCCCCTAGAGAAAGATCCTATTAATAGGAACAGATTGTTTGAAGTATTTAACATGTAAATTTTGTCCCAATTTCACCATTAAAACTTAGCATTAAACCTTGCTCAGCAGACATAGAGTGTGGCTTTTGCTGGAGAAGGTAGAAACAGGCTGAACTGAAAACCCTGGGTGCTCCACACCACATAGAGTCTGAAATTGCCTGATGGCAAAGGCACATTAGAGGGACCACTGCCCCATGGAGAATTAGGCTTAAGGAGCATTTCCTACAAAGTTAGAGAAGTAGCAGAGATGCGGGCAATACACTTGGGAGAGACCTACTTTGCCAACTATCCTCCCTGAAGTAAGCTAATTCAGCATTTTAAGTGACATTTTCATTTCATTATTTCACGTGTAGAATCCCCATTTTTACCTCACAGCATGAGCTAAATTGTATCTGCCACACAGTGAGGTAAACTCAATATGAAAACTTGGAAATCAGTGTAATTAGTTCAGGATAATTTAGGAAAAGAATAATTATATGCCACTACATTAAAAATCTACCACACCTTATATTTAATGTCTCTGTTATACATAAACATGTATAGCATTAACACTAAGGCACTATTCAAAGGCTCAGGCATTGAGGAATACATTTCAGCTGAAATAATTCTATTTTTATCCCAAAGGCCAGCAGATCCCTCATGGAGCTGTGCTGCTTGATCATTAGAGAAAAAACTGAGTGCTAAAGGACATAGAGTGGGTATGTAAAATTTTAAGCAGCAGCAACAGGGCCACATTCATAGTATTGCACCTGAATGATGCTGGTATTATTAGACTTTGCATTTGAAGCTTCATTGTTTCATAATAGTCTACCTTTTACTTTTATTTGTTTCATCACTCTCTCAGCAAATGTTTCTCATTAAAATCTCACTCATTAAAAATGTAGTTTGGGTAAAGATCACAATTTTAACTACACAGAAGCAAATTAAGCTTCAAACCAGATGTAAACAGATATATAAACAGATGAACAATTCAGCAGAGTATTTAATGATGTGATTTTTCTGAATATAAATGTGCTAAAAACATACTAACAACTTCTTAAAACACACGTTTAAAACAAAAACTGTTCCAAGTTTAAGATGTTCAAATGCCTACAACTCTAACACCCTAAATACAAGCACCTAACAAATGCAGAGCAAGTCTTGAGTTTTCCAAGGTTATCAAAAACAGGGAGTTAAGAAAGAAGCAACTAACTATAAGCTGCCTTAAAAAATATTTACACTGTAGTGAAAAAAAAACAAATCCAAACCGGTTTGGTAGGGTGTTTGGGGCGGGGG